AATCGTTTTTGATCATCTATTTCTTCATGAGGTGTCCATGATTTTATTTTATCTTTATTGCATAGATTGCCTGAAAAAGACCATAATTCATTTTTATTACATAGGTTTATACAACTTATATTTACTCAAAATTGTATGATCATTTATTAAACAGGTAATTTTTTATTAAGACTATATGCATAGAAATAAACTATAAAATAATCTTATCTTTAAGTTTAAATATATACTTTTAGACTTAAGTTATAGACATTATGTTATGTAACCAAAGAATAAAGATTAATCCATCAAGTATATAGAAATTTTTTTTTTATTATTATTTGAATTAAGCCTCGGCAACTATGGCCATTGGCAACAATGGGTTTAACTCTAAATTATTTACAAGTTATATAATTTACATATTAAATACTATTGATAAGGTTGGACTTAGTAATAAAGGTTATTATTTGTCTTATGTTGTCTGGGTGGAGGGCTTCTGACAGGATAGAAATTATTGAGAGGTGCATTGACTTGTATGTTACATTATGTAAAACACATTTATAACAGCAAAAATAAATTATGTATTAATTCATATTGCGTTAATGGCCTAGTTGTAGATTCTTAATAAAATAAAAATAAAATAAAAATTTTTATCAATCAAAATGAACAATTATTTTTTACTTTATAAATAAGTACTCAAGTTTGGAATACTATTATAACTAGTTAAGTAACAATTTTTTTTTAACATGTATGACTTCTACTCAAAAATATTATTTTTTACTAATTGTATGATAGGTGTTTTAACCCCAAAAGACATTTTTGTAAGTTTAGCATCAACATATTTTTACTAGTGATAATAATCTGTGTATTAATATTAAAATTAACTAACTTATTAATGTTAAATTTAAAGGTAAGAATRCTCTTGAGGGTGTATCGAAAGTTTTTTTTGATATTTCAATTTTGAAGTAAATTACTAGTTATATGTTATAAAATGCTCATAGCTTACTTTGAAATTAAAATATAAAAAAACAACATATCTGATAACCTTAATAATATTCTTAACTTAAAATTTGAAATAAGCTCAATTAAAATCGATTTTTTTTTGTATCAACACATATGATGTGTTATAGTAAGATGAAATCAATATATGCGGGTACAATTTACTCTTAGTAGATAGATACCTATATTAAAAAACAATTTCATCTTAATACTAAATATATAAGAACTTGAATTATTTACTTACATTCAATCAAATTGTTTACTATGTCTTTTTGAATTTTGAGTAATCTGTCTTTAACRAATTGATCTAATTCTTTACCGGGTGTCCTTGTACCATGTCTTTGGACTAGCCAAATTTTCCATGCCTTACAACCTTAGAATAAAATTAAAATAAAACAAAACAACAGACAAATATAATGCTTACTTAGGTACGTTAAATATACACAATAATAAAACATTGACATATTTAAAATATATCAATTATTGGACAAGCAAAATGCCCACTTACCTTCAAAGTTGACCGATTCAGTGTTATAGTTGGCTACATATCTATATGGAGTTTTTGATGATAAATGATGAGAATAATCACTGTACAAACCATTACACTGGTCTATACTATGTATATGGCCAATTAAACTGCACACTATTGCTGTGACTACAACTAACATGATGTGAACAATATCCACAGGTGTCTAGTCTTAGAAGTAAATAACTGACGAGAAAAAAATAATTATAAAACCAATAATATATTATTTTAAACAATTATTCACTTACGCTCTTTATTGGTGTACTGTACACACTGCAACTAAATGTAAGATTTTTAATATTTTATGGTATACAGTCATACCTTTTTATAGCAGTCAAATTAAAAAGTTTTGTCACAAATTAACACAAATTAACACATGGCAATACTTCTATATTAGTATATTACCACTACTACTGCTACAAAATAATTTAAAATAAAATTATTTATCTACTATATAGTATGTACCTAATTATTATTTTTTAAGCCCACAATCCACAATCTAGTATCTACAATCTACATAAAATATTATTAAATAATATTTATGTAAATAATAAATATTGATTTTAAGAAGTGATAACAACGACCTTCGTGATAGCATATAACAATATTATAGTGATAGCATAGACTAATAAATTAAAATTGTTAATAATAGGTCTATGAGTGATAGTCGATAGAGTTCTTATTTTCTTAATTCATATTTAATAATTTTTTCCTTTACGTTTGTTCTTTCAGTTCTTTGCTGTTACTGTGATTATCATAGATATATTATTATAACATAAAATTATGATTATGAATAATTATGATTATTTAAGTCCATCTCCAGTCCGTCTATAGAATAGATGTTAATAATATTCTATATTATCACTTATTATAAGACAGATTATCCATAATCCATGTCGGTACTTATTACTTAACAGAAATCTGAAATACAGAAAATATAATATGGAGTCCGTTAAGTCCGTTTTAAAAAAAATGACTGACCACTTACGATTTTCTTATTTTTTTTGAGTAGCATGGAGAAATGATTCATTGATCAGTTAAAATAATTAGTTTTTGGTCTTTGGATAATTAAAACTTTTAGTGTCTTATTACATCTTTATGGTTTGATTCAATTATTAAAAATATTAAACAATTAATATGCTATTGCAMTAGGGTCAATACGAATATTAYGTAATCACCAAGGTATGTARTAACTTTAATGATCATTAATTATTACAAAAAAACAAGGTTGATGCACCACACATTAACATTTTGCTAATTTATTTTAATTTTGGTCATTTTACACTTAGAGTTGAATATCTACTTGCACTTATTATCATGAATCGCTTTATTTTCAAAAGTACACAATATGCTATGAAAAATAAACTTTTACATGATGTAAAAAATACAACTTTCAAGCACGAAATTTTACATGCCAAAGGTAAGGGGCCTAATTAATGTTCTTCTTAAACGTAGTATTAGCACTCATAATTAAACCTAAATTTTCCAATATCTTTATGTTTTCCATTTTCCATTTACAAGCATATTTTAAATATAAAATTGTGTGGCAGTAATATTTTTACTTTGGTACTTAAACTTGTCGGTGTTTTGTTATTCTTAAGATTTTTATTTAAAGAACCTTCCAAACAGATGCTAAAATAGTTTATTTTTTCAGGAAATTTTAGTATTAAAATTCAATACAAAATAATTGATGGTCTATTTGTCTTATATCATACTGAAGTACCTGTTGAACATAGAGGTCAACAACTTGGATTTTTAATTTTTCAAGTATGTATAAACCATGACKAAATAAATAGGTATGATAACAAAAAAACTGTTTTCGTCCGGTTTGCGCATATCCACATTATGCTATATACAAAACCATTGGTCGTAGTTCTCTGCATTTCATTGGTGCACATGTCACTAGAATGTAATAGAAACGGAGAACCTCGCGATAGATGAGGCAAACGCGGTTGCGTATCACAAAGTTGTCATCATACTTATTTATTTAGGCTTGGTATAAACTATGTGTTGTTGGCGTCTGATTTATTATTTTGATCTATTAATAACAACTTATTAAATATTTTATCATGCATTTAATTAATTCAATAGAAGTAGATACAGGCTAGGTTAGTCTATTTTTCCGAAATTTCAGGGATAGGCAGTTTCCTTAGTCTTTTCCTGGCCATGTCACTGATTTAACAAATTATAAATTTCAATGAATTTGGCTTAATAAATCCATATTTTGCATTACTAATTTTGAATCTAGAACATTTTAAACACCGTATATTGGGTGTTAGTTTGATTGAAACTGATTATGATATTTATGTATGTTTTTATATTTTTACTCTTTCTCTTATGTTCATTGATATTTTTAAAGTAATGATGTACCTACTTATTGTATACTTACTGTCAAATAATAATAATCGTGTATGAAACTTATTTCTAATGATCCCTCTTTTTTTTTTTTTTTTTTACAGGAAGTAATTGACTATTTGGTAAAGCATAATATACAAACAGCTTTATACTGTCCCTTTCTCGTAAAAAGTCTGAAACTATATCCAAATGGAAATATTAATATCATCAAAAAGTTACCTGCAACTGACAAACTATCATTTTAAAAATATTATGGTAGAATATCATAATAATTAAAGGACTATAGTCATATATTTATCAAGTTAATTTACCCAGTAGTTTATATAATAAAATAGGAACCCAGTGTATCCAAATAAAATAAAATGGATTTTGAACTCATACAATATTACCTAAGAACAAAATATTACCATAGTGCACAACTATCTGGATCTAAAGCTATTCAAATTAATCAAAATAGTTCAGTTTATCAACTTTATTATGGTCTATCATTTGTGCTTCAAAATAAACTGTCTAAAGGACTGACCATACTGGATGCTTTAGTTAAAAATACTGACGTTGGATTAGCTTCTACACTAGTAATGATCCATGCCCATAAACAATTTGAGGTATTCATATTTTTAAATTACCATATACTAAAATCATTAACTTGATTAGTTGTATTATTTAATATTTTTTGATACTATAGTTTCCTGATACCAACACAATAAACATGTTAGAACTCACTGTCACAGAATGCAGTCCTTCAGAAATTGTACTCTATCATGCTGCAAATGTTATGATGCTGTGTGATTGTCTTGAAAAATCCAAAATCTATGTTGACCAACTTTTATCCAAGTTTCCAAGTTCAGTTGATGGTTATTTAGTTAAAGGGTGGTTGGAACTTAAAGAAAACAATCTTAAAAAAGCTAAAAACTGCTTTAAAGCCGTTCAATCACAGGTGAGTTCTTTTTTCAGTGGCAAGTTATATTTAATATTTATATATTAATATATTTTAGAACAATGATTCAGTTGGAGCTTATCTTGGTGAAGCAGCAACTTTAGAATTTGCTGAAGCTATTCAGATGTTAAATCAACTCATTGTTAAACTACCTGACTTTTTACCGCCTTTTATCGAGAAATTAAATCTTTACAYGAGTGTACAAAAATGGTCCGATGTCGTTGAAACTGCTGATCGTATATTAGGCATAAAATCTGACTGCCCATTAGCTATAATGGTTTGTTAAAAAATTCTACCTCACWTAAAAAACTATGTATAAYCTTATACCTATTATTTTATTTGTAATGATACGTATATAGCTTATATAACTACTTTTAATTATTTTCAGGCGAAAATTCTGTATAACATAGTTGTTGTTGGGAAATATGAAGAAATACCCGATGAGTTTTTTAAAACCATTGAAAAATCGGAACCAATCCCAAATTTATTTGTTCAGTGGTCTTCAGCCATATCTCGAACTTGTGGTCAACATAAAACCATTATCGATGAGTGTATTCGTGCTATGCAAATTGCTATTGATTTGGAACCAAGTGTCAATAATAAACTAGAACTTGCATATCAAGTTTATTTATCTGGACAATATAAAGAAGCTATACAACTGTATAGTGATTTATCTAATGCAGAACCTATTCCTAAAGCAATGGAAGGGATAATTTTGTGTCAGATTAAAATGAATGACGTTAATGTTCAAGTAAATGTTTTCGATATTTCATAACAGTTTATCATAGTAAAAAATACTCAATGTTATTTTTAGGTTGAAAAAGAAATTGAATTGCTAAATGAAATTAGAGGAGAATTAAAATCAAGCGAACTTATCTTCATAAATGCATATTGTACAAAAAATAATGAAGTGAAATCAACCTTAATAAAATTAGCAGTTGAAAAGCAGTTTGATTCTATCACTCATTTATCATTTGGCCCAGAATACTTGATACAACTTAATCCAAATWTGATAATGATGTTTTTGAAACACTTGTCTGATAGCACCTATAAAGAAATTGCCTTAGAAAAGATTTTAAATGTTTGCCCTGGACTTATTGATTGTTGGTTAATGCTTGGAAATATTCAAAATATAAAAAAAGCTCATAAATCACTAGAAAAAGTATTAGAACTAGATCCTACAAATTCAGAAGCACATCTTATGATTGCTAATCTTTTGATAAAGCAGGTAAATTGTTTTTTTTTTTTTTGTGATTTTTATACCTAGAAATTTCAAAATTAAGTTGTTAATAATATATATGTATGTATAAACATTTTTTTTTGTTAAGGGTCATTTTGCAAATGCTTCTAAAAGCTTGGATTTAGGTCTTAGCTACAACTTATCAATTAGTAATTGGCCCTTATATAGTCTATTAAATGGACTTGTTCATAAACATTTTGAAAGGAATAATGAATGCATTCAAGATTTAGAAAATGCTTTGAATAAATTGTCAAGTAATATATTTAACTAGGCCCAGATACCTACTAAGATTATAAATAAAACTAATAGTGAACTATTTCATATTTTAGATGAACATGAACTTGAACACAACAATTTAGCTTCTTTGTTTAGTACTCTAAGTGAATGCTACTGTATGGAAAACAAAATCGATAAAGCAATAACAACTGTGAATAATGCGTATGAATATTTAAAAGATACAAATTATGAAGGAGAAATTAAAATAGCTGAAGCAAACATTTCTATGTACAAAAATGATACTAAAAGTGCTTTAAAAATATTAAATTCCATTCAATCTGATCAAGATGTCTTTATTAAAGTATGTTTAAAAATTCATTATCAAGTATATTTTAATGAGAATAGAACAATTCATTGTAGTTATAAATTGTGCTGTATCATATAACTAGTTACACTTATAGTTTTTATTCATTATATTGGTATGTATTATGTAATTTTGTTTTCAATTATATTTATATCCAAAAGGCATAGTCTATTTACTCATAGTAAATTTTAGTTATATATGCCTTAATTCAATCAAATTATTTAAATATTAGGCCCAAAAAATGAAAGCTGATATTGTCATGAAGACAAATCAAGATCCATTTGAATATGCTGAATGCTTTAAAAATTTAGTTGATAGTTTTCCCACTGTTGATAATATGATTGAACTGGCAAATGCATATTTAAAAATTCAGG